TCAGATTTTATAATTGTCCAATCCTGCTGCTCCTTAAAAAAAAAAAAAAACAAACAAACAAAAAAACAAACAAAATGTATTTATCTATCAATAGCCTCAACAGTAATGCAACCAATCAACACAAGAAATTAGCACCTCCCAGTCAACAACAGTGTCTTTAAGTCTTGCACCACAATCATCACTGGAACAACTACGTGGTGTCTCCTTCAGTCCAATAGGTTCCACCTCAAAATCCCGAAAATACCTTCACAAAAAATCAAATTTATAAGATCAACTTTTAATAGCAGAAAACTGAGTCAACTATATAATAATCTAATATGTAGCAGTGAACACCACTAGATGCTTACTCTCTGATAACACCAAAGAAGGAGATGAAATTTTTGTTTAGAACACAATCAAACAAAAGTCTATATGCCAAAAAGGAGATGAGTGAGTTGAGGTAAGTTTAAACCTTCTGTATCATTATGGCAAGTTTTTCAATCTGCAATTGCAAAAAGCAAAACCCAGTGAGGGAAGAAAAATCAGCACATGTATGGCAAACTCTTAAATTATCAATTTTCCAAGCGAAATAATCCTCAGCAAGCCCAAAGTAGAGAAAATATCATGTTGTATACTCAAATAACTAGAGGATAGTAAGCAAAGCAATAGTGATTGTCTTCAAAAAAATTAAAATTTGTATTACTCCTCCTAAGATATAAAATTCAAATTGACATGAACATATATATTCATATTACAAAAATACTACAATAATATTTTTATTTACAAATCGTATTTCTTGCATGGAATTTTTTTTTTTTCCTCTTTTCTTTTCTTGGTAACCTATTTTGTTCAATTTTCTAAAGGAAACACTGCTATGCACAGTCCACTATCATAAGAAACTTGAGAATTTTTTGAGGTGAAGTTATGAATTTTTGTAGTGTTTGTTACGAATAATTGCAGTGCAATTCTAAAGGGCCATGTAAGAAACCTCGTGACACCAGGTTGAACCCAATAAACCATGAACTACATTTCCAAGAAAATAAGAGACAAACAATCTGAAGAATGACAAAAAATATGGAAGATTAGAAGAGAACGGAGTAAATTACCTGCAGAGCCAATTGATGAGGAAATCCCACAACCCCATTTCCGAGATAACGAGAATTTCAGATGAATCAAATGGAGTTGTCAAGAAAACCCTTTTTGTTTTTGCTTTTGAGTTCTGAGAAAGCAATCAAAGCAAAACATCATGTTCTGTAAATTGAATTGAAGAAAGAGAGAGGTCTGAAACTGCTTATACATACATACATATATATATATATATATGAAAGAGAGAGAGAGAGAGAGAGAGAGAGAGAAAAGAGAAGTAAAATTAGGGTTTCTGATTCCCTCACTACATTCCGCCCCTACTATGCATCTCAATTGCCGCCTCTGTTGATTCTAGCCTAACTTTGGCCAACGATCTCAATGTCAAACCCCTTCGATTTCGTCTCCTCGATAGAGAATGGCTGCTGGTTTGCGATGGTGATATCAATGGCGGTGGTGGTCGTGTGCTCCTGTACTGATGGCGATGGAGAGAGAGATGGGGGCCGGAGGAGAAGGAGGGCGTGACAGAGAGACACAAGCGTGATATAGAGAAAGAATTAGGGGTGAGCATGGTTCGAATTGGACCGGATTGGGATAAAATCAGGATCAATCTGTTATTTACGGTTCCTGAAAAATTGAAACCAATCCAATCCGTTTAAATCATGGAACCAATCCGAACCAATCCATTTAAATACGGATTGGATCGGTTTAGGACTACGGATTCACATAATTAAATAACAAAAAAATATATATAACACTTTAATTTCATAAAAATATAAACATAGCACTATATTAGTTTCACAATAGCAACATCTATTTCTATAATAGCGACATACTGTGCTAGAATTTAAACAACCATAAGAAAACTAGTTTCACTATAAATATTTAGACCATTACAAATTAAAACTAAAAACGAACAAGCAAAAGTAATAAAAGAAGATATTATACGGTTTTAAGTTTGAGTTTAGATTTTATATAGAATAAAAGAAGATACTATGGGGGAGGATGTATAATAAAAATATATACTATTTGTATACGGTCCGGATCGGTTCCAGTCTGGAACCGTGGGGTTCAATCCAGAACCAATCCGTGTACTACGGATTTTTAATTTTTCAATCCGGAACCGAACCACAGATTCAAAAAACCAACCCAAACCTATCGGATTGGACTGGACTGGATCGGATTACAGATTTCACGGATTCTTTACTCAGCCCTAGAAAGAATAAGAAGCTTTTTTTTTTTTTTTTGTCCATTAGCCACGACACAACATAGGCATGGCAAAAAAAATCTTTTTGCGACGGGGATAAAAAGCCTTCTCAAAAAAATAGGCCTTTTATGACGGATAATGGTTTGCCATCACAAAAACCCTCCAACATATCCTTTTCTCCTTTTGAGACAAGAATTGTCGTCGCAAAAAGCAACCATTGGCAATGGGATATTAACCGTCGCAAAAAGTTTTTTTTTTTGACAGAAAATAAACCTTCACAAAAGATTTCGTGTCTTATACCCATTTTTCTAATAGTGATATAAAAAATTATATTAATCGAATAACTATAACCAGATGATCAAATCACATCTATCATTAAAATAAAATAAATAATAAATATGATTTTTAAAGTAAACCATTCAATATTTTGAAAACGTTTATAATTTGATCAGGATTTTTAAAGTAAACCATTCAATATTTTGAAAACGTTTATAATTTGATCAGCTTGTTATAATTAGCTGATCAATATGATTTTTTATTTAAATGATATTCTTAAAAAATTTATAAAATAAACAACCTGAGTTATCAAAATGAGCCCTGTGACAAACTCATGGTGGTCCAATTGTTAAGTAGAGACATCCAAATTTTATCGTATGTGAAAAAATCAATCCAAGCCCTTTCGGTTTTTTTTTTTCCGTGTATCAAGTTGCACATCCCACTGTGACGTGTTGGGAATAATTTGGTAACGCTATTCTTGTTTTTCTGCTTTCGATTTTTTTTTTTATTAAACTAGAATTGATAATTTGTTTGTTCTTTTATTTCATATAAAAAAAAAAGAAATGATTTTAAAATTTATTTTAAAAAAAGAACTGATTTTAAAATTTATTTAAATTTTTTTTTAAAATTTTGTTTTAATTTTTTTTTCCCATTCACACTACTTCTAGCCACGGGTACCTTGTGTTGGACAAATTGTGTAAATTAAACAAGATAAATAGATTCATGATTCATCAATTATGTTACAGAATAAGAAAAAATATGCTGAATATTATAACCATATTTCACAGAAATACATAATACGATAAAATGATAAAGAAAGCAAATCGAAATCTGTGTGGTACTATAGTCTCCTTAAAACAGATTAGCCGTCTCACCGTGGGTGCTGGAGGTACGTCGACTTCTATCTCTCAGGATACGACGGTTTAGACTGGTTAACACAGAAGCACATTTTGATAGCTTTGGTGAACCGACAATGACAACATTCTCTCACATTGGAAGAATATATTATAGGAGAACACTGACTTGACTACAATATGAGAACAAAAATTCTGTACGAAAACCAAGGGAGATGGGTCTCTTTTTATACACCATGGGGAAGAGAGGAGGAGCCTCCAGTCATGAAGATTAGTAACCAATGCCCATTACTCCTGCAAAATTGCTGAAGTAATAGACCAACACTGATGGACAATAATATCTGAGATATATATTCTGTATACACAAGTGTGTATATTTGCAGTAGACTTGGCCCAAAAAGAATAAGTTGGTGGACCGCCAAACCGGCCCAACTCAAACCCATTCCAGTAAGCCTCAAGCCTCAAGCCTAAGATCCAAGATCCATGACCCACGGATCACGGACCACGGATCTGGACCCAGCCCGGTTTGGGCGGGTGGGCACATGCGCGCGCACGTATGTGTGGCAATTTTTCCATAACTAACTTAGACCATAGTCTTGGCCTAAGCCCATCCTTGAAGCATCCACAACTCCCTTCCTTCAGAAAATTTGTATGTCCCAAAGGGCTCATGCCCTTATCAAAATCTTGGGGTTAAATAACCATCAAAGCTTTCCTCTACAATTAATGTGGGATTGGTAGCTATACACAATTCCCAATACCGCATTTATGAGACCAAATTTATGAGACAATTTCTCATTCAATTCTTAATGATTTTTGGTCTTTTTTTTTTTTTTTTTTGTAGTGTAAAGACCTTGTTGCAAAGAATCTAAACACATTTAATCTCACCTCAACCAATGGTTGGGACCTACTTTAATTTCACATTAAAGTTACCATAAAACCATTTTTTCTAACAATACCCCACATGAATAAAAATTGACTGCATAAAGAAAACGGACAACGTTTATAACAAAAACTCAGAGAGAGAGCACACAGACTAATCCTGCATCAGAAAAGGTAGCTGTTGGCCTTAAACCTTTCGTAGTGAAAGCCTATCGGATTTACTGGTTGACCAATGAACGTGATGTCTTGAACTATTCTGCTATTTGTGTAAACCGAGACAATAGACCTTACACAGGAGTTAGTCCAACCATTGTTCTTGTTCTTACTGGTGTGTTCGATATGGCCCTAGAACACTGACCTGGTTCAATGAGTATTTTTAAAGAATTCGGCCTTACCAATTCTTAAAGAAGCTGCCCCACTTCGCACTCATATAGGTGACCTACATAAGGTATCTCATTATATCACGATTGATTATTCATATCACTTAGGTTATTAAAAGCATTAGCTTAACCTTCCACCTCCATAGGGTATCACTATACAAAGGAAAGGATATGAGGATTTACCTAATCAGTGACTCACTCGTTACACGAAATTAGGCTGTCCCTTTGAACATAGATTTTGGGATCTCCAATCAACTAGATTGGGTTTTCATCCCAGTAACATTACTAAAGACCTTAATCTCATTCCTCGTGACGACGTTTTATTAACTCTCGAGTTAACCTTTTGGTTAGTAGATCCGCAATATTGTCCTTAGACTTTACATAATCTAGAGAGACAACTCCATTAGAGAGTAGTTGTCGTATGGAATTATGTCTACGACGAATATATCTAGACTTTTCATTATACATACGACTCTATGCCCGTCCAATCGCCAATTGGCTATCACAATAAATACAAATAGCAAGACAGACCTCGACCAACGTGGAATATCCTCAATGAACTGGCGAAGCCATTCAACTTCTTTAGTAACTTTATCCAAAACAGTAAACTCAAAATCCATCGTTGATCTCGATAGACACGTTTGCTTGGAAAATTTCCAAGACACAGCTGTAACAACCCTAACCTGTGATTAGCTAATTAACTATGATTAATTATACCTAATAAGTTATTACGATGAAATTCTGAATTAATTGCATGTGTGTTACATTATTTGTGTTTTTATCTATCTCTCATAGGAAGATCTGTTTGTGTTTCTGTCTTATTCTGCGAATTGAAGGCCTTATCGACATTTGATTGCAAAATTGACTTGATATATGAGCTACTTGGAATTTTTAGGAATTTAAGGTAGGTTCAATTGAAATTTGATTCAAAATGAAATAATTAGATTAAATAATGTCAATTAATTAGTTATTAACTAAATTTCTTAATTAGCCTATATAAGGCCCTTAACTCTAGAGCACACATTACATTACACTCTTATCATCTTTTATGAGCTCAAAATCATGAGAGAGAGAGAGAGAGAGAGAGAGAGAGAGAAAGAAAGAGAGAGAGAGAGAGAGAGTTAGAGTGAGGGAGCTTGAATCCAAAACTAGGAGGAGAGGAATTGCTTGACAATTGAAGGAAACTAGAGGAATTGCTCAAGACCTTGCTAGGATACAAGAGATTGAAGAGTCTAGGTAAGAAATACAACCCTTATTTTGGGGCATCAAGCTAACTTACATGGGTATTCAAAGGAATTTAATGGCTACTTATATGAATTGGACTTTAGAAGTAGAATTAAGGATCAACACATGCATGCATGCATAATTCATGAAGTGAAGTTTGAAGGGTAATTTGTAAGCAAATTGGGCCGAGCTAGAAAAGTCTTCTTTGGAAGTTGGGCCGCGCAATAGGCCGAGATAAGGGCCGATGTAGCTCGGTCTTAGGCCAAGAAGACATCTCATATTACGGATTTGGGCCGAACTATGGGCCGAGGTGTTTGGGCTTCGTAAGTTGGACCTCGTCGTTGTTAGTTCGGTCGGAGACTGCTGCAGTTAGCTCGGTCTAAACAGAAAAAACCGAGGTAACAGTGGGGGGAGAATCGAGCTAAAGGATAACTCTGTAGGGCGTCATTTCAGAGTCAAGACTGACAGTGGTGCTTAAAGTATCACCGAGCCGAAATAACCTGGTTGGCCGCAATATCAACCGAGGTAAAGGAGGTAACATCAATGGTGAGGGCTGAGCTATGTATAGCTCGGCAGGGTGGCATTCGATAGATTGGCTTTCGATCACACGGTCCGAATGGTAGGGGACCGAGATAAGGCAGTTCAGTCATAAATGTATAACCAAAGTAAAGGGTTCAGCCATCTCACTTGGCTTGCAGTGATGAGACTCCTAGT